TTTTTTCTTCATGGAGGAATTCAGTGGCACACCTTTCTTTCATTCACACTTCCATGTCAGATGCTACTTTGTCAGACTGTTCCTCTGCTGCCATCTTTCACATGGCAAACAAATGTAATGGAATACTGGCAGGAAGATTCAACCTCTACTGCCATACCACCAACATTCACCTCTAATCTTGTCGGCCAACACAAAAAAAATTACTTTCAGAGCAGCTTTCATATCTATAGATCAGATATTTTATTGCTTTATTTATAAGCAGCACAAAGAAAGAAATCTAATTGGTTTTACTCTTCTGAACCTCAGTGAGCATGGAATAAAATAAGGCACAGGTACAACCAAATGCAAATGACAGGGATGGAAAAAGTGTATGATAACACAATGTTAATCTGGTACTTGAGCAAATCTGAGGGCTTCTCCAACACTAACAAAGCCAATCCCTGCATCGCCCTCCTCCCATTAATTGGGTTAAAAAAGCCATTGTAAAAGAAAGAAGGACACACCTTATTACAAAACCAAATACGTTAGGTAATTCATTGTGATTTTTTTTTCTTTCTTAGGACCAGTAACTTCAGACAGTTTATTATGTGTCTGCTAATGAAACTAGTCATGTGGAAAACAATATTCAGCTCAATCAGACCTGCGTGCAATCTGTCAAATTGCTCTCCTTTCAGTCCACCACCAAATTCCTATGGGAAACAAAACTCAAAAGAATGTCTTTGCAGCACATCTGCAGAATTAGACATATGTTTCTACGAGAACTGGGGGATTTTCTCAAAGCTGTACTTCTGACAAATTTTAGACACATCAATGGCATTATCAAGATGTTTTTGACATAATAAAAATTTTATCTACCTCAAACCCATATGTCACACCAGACCTTTACAGTGAGGACAGCTGCCAAACTCACTGTTATCTGCCTGGATTTTCTAAGGCTGTAGTATGTGCCTGAAACCAGGTCAAGAGGGTGCATCCTTTGGTGTAAATCCTGAGGCTTCAAGTTGTGTATGTGTTAAAACTTAGTAGTCTTAACACATCATCCCAATCACCATCACCCCAATACACACTATTAAATGTGCATGAATAAAGAAACTTCACAAGTTCACAAGTAAACATTAAACTCACCATTGTTAAGAGCACTTCTTTACGGGTTATGAATAGCAGGAGAAAAGGCATAAGCTAATATTTCTCACTCACCTTAACTTCATGAGGCCAGTGCTGCTCAGTGTAGATCCTTCATGGAAGATATAAAGTTCAGATACTCAGTGTAGTATCTTAAATTCTAACACAGAATATGGATAGGAGGAGGAAATTTACAGGTCTCGTGTAGGCATACATAGGCATTTGACCTTTTACTCATGATAGAGATCTCCATGTGTTTCATAACGGTTAAAGTTTTACAAGGAGAAAGTTCCACCAGACTCAAAAAAATGATAGTACAGGTCTCTTTAAGAGGCACTGTATCACGTGCCAGATGTTCTGTTTACTTGGGACAATCACAGTGCGGGATGAAACAGGATGGGGATGCCAAATCTTTGCAAAAGATAGGTCTACTTTTGGCAATTTTCCAGTTGCTCCACACTGATCTAACTTCCAGGAAGGAAGCTGCTACCTCTGATTATACAGAAAAAAGATGTGTGTACCCTGATGTGCTTTGCTCTTCTTAAGGAAATAATTTGTGTTGAGTCCAGTGTAACTGTTTGAAGCAGGCAGAGCTGAAATGCTTGGGTCTACATAAAAGATTACTGTGAAAACATGACAAGACATGAAATGTGACCCAAGAGATTACTATCAGCAATAAGAAAATTGAAAGCACATTTATAAGAACAGAGAGTAAGATTATGCAATAGTTTATTTGGGAGGGTTACCCCTCAGCTGTAAAATGCATTTGCTCTGCATCCATCACTGGATACAATTATCTCTGCTGCACAGGGCTCCACGGTTTACATTTTTAGCTCCTTTCGTTTTCTCTGTAGCATTTTATTTCAATCATGAGGAAGAAGAAATATTCGTGCCTGCTTTGAGGACCATAAAAATATGAATGGGTAACTTAATTCTCTACAAAACTAATGAACATCCCAGCACATGGCTTTGACTGACCTGTTCAGGTCACACAACTTTTAGAAGATATTTGAGAAAGCAATTGGCTTGCTGCATTCACAGATTCTAACCAGTTCATATCAGAAACTGCTTGCACTTAAAACTGTTAAGCAGTATTAAACAGCAGGAGGGGGATGAGGTATTGATTCCAATTCATTTAAACTCCCTACTTTATTTGCCTTTCAATTCCCACCTTGTGGAACAAACACTCATTGGTCTTTACATGGCTTCACTCATTTTCCAGAGGCTTGATTAAGATTCTGTTCAGTTTAAGAAATAGGAATGTATTCACCTGGCAAAATACATAGAATAATGCCTCACGATTTCAGAATTTAAATAAAACGAATAACAATAATAATAAATTAAATAGAATATTTTATTGTGGTGCAGGGTTTACTATGTTTGGATTAATATTCAGATGAATGACTTCTTTGTGCTTTAAGGCACTCCTGACTTAACTCGCCTCATTCATTCTGGAAATCTTTTATACATGCTATTATTCTGATTTCTGAGGAAGTTTTTATGAAATATTACAGACCTTTAAATTAGTGCCTTTATATACATATATATATATATGTACGTATATAAAACTAAGTGGCATGGGCTGGGACTAAACTTGCTCTCATGGAACATAAAAACAGTACAAGCAAGGTGGGGGTATTCTTCAGAGGCTGAAAATGAGATAGTTAGTCAATGAGGCAGAAAGATAACAGTTCTGCTCCACACTGTAGAAATGACCCAAGAGGGGGTTAATTTACCAAAAGTAGCACTAGACAGTCCCAGGAATAAAAAAGAATTACACATAAAATGATGTAAATTTAATTGAAGTAGACTCACAGAGATTTATGAAAACACAGCAGTCAGTTTTAGGGTACACGCAGTAGTTTGCACACAAATTAAAAGATGAATATTATCACACACATTTTGGGAACAGAATTTGTTACTTGTTAGCCAAGTAAAATTCCTAAGCAGAAAAACCATGCTCTGGATTGGTTAATCCAATATACTGCTGTTATGCAGAAGTGAAAAATAATAAAAGAATGATTTCACAACTTTCACTAGTAACATAATGATTATACTGCAGCTTTGATGTGGCTAAAATACAATTTTCCTTTCCTCCACTTTGCTTAGTTCAGACAGTGCTATTTGCCTTCTCTATGTCATTGCCCAGGGGCCCCCAGTGTGGAAGAACAGAATGAAAAAGTCCTTTCTGGATGATGACATGAAACCCATAGAAAATACAAACATTGTTTTTAAGGGAATAGATGATATGTTCTTTCACTGAACCAAATCTAGTAAAGATGGGACGGTACAGAAAACAATACATGCAGGTCTCTGATCCATTTTAAAAAAACTGAACTGATTTCTCTAAAATATTTTCCAGCTGTTTCATACTGTTCTGGTCAGAAGAAGCAGCTGTAGTGCATTTTACCTGGATAGTTAAACAGTTGAAGCATACTACTGAGTGTTGTAACATACTGTTTGCTTGAGGCATCAGACCAGTGATTTCCATACTCAGAAAGGAAAAGCAAAGCAAAGAAAAATTATTCTTAACTTATCTAATATTCATGCTTGCTGCCTTGTGTTACAGTCATAGCAAGTTTTAGCTTCTTACTGCCATACAGAAAATTTCCCCCCAGAATGTCTGGAACAAACTTTGTCCACTAGCAGGATCAGACCAGAATCATAAAATATCCCAAGTTGGAAGGGACCCATAAGGATCATCAAGTCCACCTCCTAGAGTCAGTTTTCAGAAAATATCAACATTAAAAATTTAAAATTTATTTTTCATGTACTGGGCAAATTTTTTCAAGTACCAAATTTAACGTTGAGTAAAGAAAAGTCCTTTGGGCTGGCAAAGAGAGACAGTAATCCGAGCCATGTTTGTGCAGTCTTTTCTGGACAGCCTGCATTTCCTATCCCCCAAGGTAAACTGCAAGATCTGTAGACCCAAACAGTGCAATGATAAAATTAAGATTCATAAGCCTTTATCTGATTCTGGAGGAAAAAAAGAATTTTAGCACTTTTTTGAAGGGAGCATCAGGATATCAGTTACATAACTGAAAGGAAAGGGCCACCAAATCTGTTACATCTCTGCCTCAATTTTGTTAATCATACATAAAAATCATGGACAGTATTAACACTTCAACACATTATGTATTTTTGTAATTCCTATGTGGGAATAATTGGTATTTATATTGTCATGTGTTGTCTGAGGGCCTAGAGAGTGTTATTCCACTGAAGTTATCTCATAAACTTGAACGATTTTTGTTAAATATAGCATTCTTTCAGCAAATTAATTCTTAATATATAGGCATTGACAAGCCTTCATGCATTGCAGGTTGGCTTATTAGTAATAAAAGACATTTCAGTTTCATAACCTCAGTCCCATGGGCCAGTTTGTAAACATACACATTTGGTTCCAACATTAAAGGGATTGCACTTGTAAGTAAATACTCCATGGGGATCTAGCAATTTAATTTCAGTCTTTATAAACACAGGAAATATTTTTTTTAAGGGATTAGACATTTGTGGGAGAGTAGTTCATAGAGAATACTTGGAGAAAAAGTGACTTTTCCAACTGAACACCATTTAGGCTCTCAATATTGCTTGAAAACCAAATTGTATTAAAAAAAAAAAAAAAGATGCAACTAGAAAAAAACAAAAGTCAACTTGAAAAAGCTTAGGAGAAATAATTAAAAATAATTGTACCAAATATCTCAGGAAGAGATATGAAACAGACCAAAACCAAGTATTCATCAATGGCAGGAGCTACTTTCAAGCTACATAGAAACATTTGAACACATACCATATTTCTCCTTGCTTGCACCCAAATTCCAACCCCACAAAGTTTAAATGCAAATGATTTTCATGAACTATATATGGAAGTGTGTGAGACATTAAGGCTCAGAATCTGCAAATGGTACTGTAGTTCCCTTCTTAATAAAAGCTCTATTTATTAAGAAATGGCTCATTGAGCATTTTAAAAAGGACTCAGGGAAAACACTTCTTTTTTCTTCCTTTCTTGCATATTTTATACTTCTTTTGCCATGCAGTAATTGCGCCTGTTATTTAATTGCTCTCATTTAAGAGCTAATAAAAGATATAAGTCATACTACTTTCAAAACACATCACAAGCAAGTTTTATGATCCCATACTACAAGCAACAAATCCTCCACGTATTGCTACTGAAATAATACAATTACATCACATCAACCATTTTTATGCTTTTTCTTCCCGCAGGCACGTAAAATAGGGAAATGGATTTTTATTTAGTTACAAACAGTCTGATACTGCATTATGTGCTTTGTCCTTTAGAGCAATCAGTCACCATGGGCTCTAAACAACTTGGATTCTGCAGTAAGAAAATGAAGAGATGCTTGGCAAAGGTTTTTTTCTGTTCATTTAAAAACTCTCACCTATACAGACGCTTAGATGCTATTTACTCTTACTGTTATCACAAACTCAGCGCCACATCCACTTCTATAAATTTATGCTTATTACAAATAAAAATGCATCTTGAAACAATACAACAAATCAATGGGAGGCCTTCCTAAATAAAGACTTGATAATAATGGAGGCTTGTTTCCAGTATTATCACACCCAATAGCTACTCAACGCACCAAAGATATAAAGATACAAAGAAGATAGCCAATGATAACACAAACTCATGAAAAAAGAACAAAATCCTTTAAATCACACATCATCCAAGTAGCTATTATTAAAACCAATAGAGGACTAAAGGTCTACCAGACTGTCAAAGGCAGGCAAGGTAACTACTGTCACTTTTGAGGAAATGTCTCACATAAAGGCAACTTCAAAACTTATTTCTACCCTCAGCACACCGCAGTGTCAAATTAATGTTAATCTATTTCCATCACTTAATCTGTGTGGCATTGTCCCAACATTCAAAATGTAACATGTGCAAAGAGAAACTCCTCAGGGTTGTACCTTTTGACAAAAATGCATTGCAGATGTACTTATTGTCCTGATAACTTTAGTTTATTTGAAACTGCAAAGAGTAATGAGGTAGGAATTAGTCAGGAATAGCATCATCTTTTTTGAGAGTATTATTTAAACAAGCTGAACAAACTCTACATAGTTCCCATATTGCTGCTATTTATCTTGGAACACGGCAAACAAAACCAAACACCATTGCAGCATCTTCATTTCTAGGTTCAGAAAAAAATGTGACTTTCAAAGCAGTGGACTTCAACCTCCATTCCAAACAACAAACTCTGTTTAGCTGATCTTTGGGTAAGTCCAGATCTCAAAATATGAATGTCATTGATTAAGTTTACTTGCCTTTTGAACTTGTAGAGGATGAAAGCCCCAACTGCGACTAGACAGATAACAAAGAGAACCACAATAGCCCAGTAGCCACTGCCTCCTCCAATTCTTTGAGAGTCTGAAATAAAACATGGAAAACTTACTTAGCATGTCCTCTTTTCGGTCATCCATATTTTTAGGGATTCTAAAGATATCAAAGGAAATTATGATATATACCTACGTAAATACAATGCAAAAGCAGGGCTTTATTAATTTTGCAGATGGAGAAACTAGGGCTAGGAACAGCAATTGAGCTCATCAAGGTCATACAATGGTAAAGGCTAGAATGAATGTGGGATTCTTCCAGTTCCAGCTTTTTGAGCTGGCAAATGGATATTAATCCCTTAAGTAAGTGGTTTCCAATACTGACCAGACAGGGTACCACAGTGAAACTGTAACATGATTCTGCATTAAAGAGACTAGATAAAAAAAACTTTGATCTTCTACTGAGAGTTGATAAAGTATCACATCAGCATTAGGATAAATAGACTGTGGTCAGTTAAGCTTTTTTCCCACAACACATTCAAGTACGAGACAAGAATATATTAATGAAAATGATACACAAAGACTATGGGACATTTTAAGATGTGGCTGAAGTCAATTTTGAATTTTCTAGTTAAAACATCATTTTAACATAACTCTATTCAAAATTCACACTCCCTTCAACCAGTTTCAACCTGAAGAGTAAATCCAGAGTTGGAGGAAATAAATTCAAAAAAAAAACTTTTTCAGTTGTTTTGAACAGAGACAAGCTAGATCCTTCCTTTCAGAACAGCATTAGCCAAGCATTTCAGCAATTATGGGGACCCTACAGGAAGATTCAGATCTGTGGATCCACGTGTATAGCACAGTTTAGTACAATACTGTGATACCATGCTACGTCACAGAAGTGTGGAGTTATAATATCAGAGTTAAGGACTTAAGTAGCTCTGCTTTCTTGGAAGCTAGCACACATGGTTACTGAATGTTTATTTTAGAAGCCTGGTTGGCTCTTCCCTGGCCATCCAGAAAACAGCAAGAAGTTTGTGATATAAATAATGCTATATGACAAAATGAAATAACAGAATAAACATTTATTTGGCGGCAACTGTTAAAAAGCATCAACTAAGAATACACACAGAAACATTACATGTGTGTATATATATAACATATATATGTATGTATGTATGTGTGTCTTCCTATAGGTAATAAGCCCCAAGTAAATACATACATACGTATGTACGCATACATATACTGATATGTAGACTTGCTCCTTAACCCATCTAACAAGCACCCAAAGTTTTATTTATATATTTACCTGAATCAGAGTCTGCTAATGTCACTAAGATCCAGTATCCTCCTCGCAGAAAAAAACTGATATTGTGTGCATTCAAGGCCTGCTTTATAGCCGCTATTCTCTGAAAACACAAAAGAGAGAATGCCTCACTCATCTTTCAGTTCTACCTTGAGAGACTCAATGCTCTGAAAAGGAAAACCACTGGTTTATTGTATGGAGAGAAAGTTAGAAACCACTTGTCACCGAAGAGCTGAAATCCTGAAGACATTCCAAAGTAAAAAAACATGCAAAACTTCAAAAGCTGCAAATGCTGAAAAAGTCAAATCTTTAATAGCCCAGTCTGTCTTTCTGCTTAGCAAACCCTTTAAGTTCACGCAGTATGTGAACAGACAGCATATTTGCACACACTGTTTGGTCTACCTCAGTCATAACTCAAACAATGCATAACCCATATTAAAAACTCTATCAATTTTTCTAACCCTATCAAAAGACAACCTGCAATGTCACTTTAGATTTCCTGCTATGAAAAGCAACTGCTATTTCATAATGAACTGCATGTCGTAATTCAAGTCATCTCTTTTGCTGTAATGGGATGGATTCCATTTATGTCTAATTTTTAACAACACTCTGCAGAAATATATATATCCATTCATGTGGAAAAAATTGGGATTTCTTCTATTTTTCTCCAATAGGCAGAAGCACACTAAAATATGGCTGTTCATATTTTTATGGAGCAGAACCATTAAATATACCATCGTATTCTAACTCCAGATGACAAATTGGCTGAATTTGCCATTTTACTTCCTTGTGTCTTCAACATGGGTAATTTTCTAAAAGATCAAAGCTAGTTTTACAGTCTATGCCTTATAATTTAAGATACAATTTCCCACAGTATGACGAATTAGAAATATGCTTTATATCTATGAAACCTTCACAAGAAGCTCTTTTTATCATTTTATCAATTATGGTGCTCATCTTTGAGAAGTCTTTGCAGTGTAACAGATAGAAATCCCTGCCATCTCTCTCATGTTATGGAGAGACTTTACAAAGGTTTAGATTCAAATATCCACCCTCATATTGAGGAACATTTTTAACTTCTGAAGCCATTCCACTGACTTCATTAGATATTTCACAGAGGAATGACTCAGTCTAATGGTGATGTGAACATGGCCCCAGCTATTTTACAAAAAAAATTATTCCAGATAACTCTTAAGTATTTATCTTTTTGCCTAGTGTCTGAAAAGAGAATGAGTATGAGAATAATACTGGTTAGAAGCCTTTGAAGTGATGTTGGCACCAATGAAATAGAGTTACTTAGTCTTGGTCAAGACTCATTCACACATTCATGTGATACAAGGCAAGAGGGAGCACTGCTTTAGCCTAATCCAACTTTCAATCAGTAAACTCAGTTACTGAGTCTTGTATCTTAATTGTGAAAACATAGTGATTTCCTGGCAAGTATTCAAGACACCCAACATTTGCTCTGTTTTTTGCTCAAGCAATTAGATCTTGTTCATGATTTCTCCCCTTACACCTGAGTTTCCACCCAGGTGTATAGGAAACACATAGGTTTGAACTCTATGTGAATAGTGCATATAAACACAAGGTTTCCCAAATAATTTGCAATATATGATTACTCTTCCTTATGCTACAGAGTAGCTCATGGGGTATTTCATACAGAAGCAATGAAAAATGGAGACAGCATTGACTATAATTAATTATATCCTTCAAAACACATTGAAGCACAACTCTAATATAACAGCTGAGATGTAAAGTGAATAATATGCATAACATTTTGCACAGAAATGTTTGCAGAACCCAAGAATCAATCATCATCAGTTCATTTAAATTATTAAAGATATCCATTCCAAATATGCTTGGAATAAAGAGAAATAATTTTGTTTAGAAGCTGCGCCTCGCCTCTTCAAGAAGTAGAAAGATGCAAGTAATTTTGAAGTGCTAATACTCACCTGGACAAAAGCCAGAGATCAGAAATAGCTCACTTCAAAAGAAACAACCTATTAAAATTAACTGTTTCCTGCAGTATAAACAGGATTTCAGACTCCTAGGGATTCCCATTATGATTACAGAGGAAGAGAAGTAACTAAGATTTAGGATATATTCTGTGCATTCACACTGTTCTCCATCTACTTTACACCACTGTTTCTGTAAGAAACTTCTTCAGGCACCTGGACAACATCAATACTTTCATTTGGACCTTCACAATTGTACCACAGCAACAACCTACTGATATTGTTTTACTGTGAGAGCTTCGTCTTTTCTATTTCTCCAAACATTTTGAATATTGTGATCTTGTCTAATAGAGTGGCAAAATGCCCTTCAGAATTAAAAAATATCTTACACTGTGACTCTTTGTAACCGGTAGGACTTGAATTGCAACATGCAGGCACAGACTTGGGATTTGTTCCTTCTCTCTAACAGTGAAAGGAGAAATAACAAAAACTGTAAATTAACAAGCAAGGGCCAAACAATATTCTGATTTTCTCCAGGCTTTTTATTATGGAAGGTATCTGGTTTGGAAAGAGGAGCAGAGAAGTTAATATCATATTTTCATTGCCTTGTTCAGTGTATTTGCTTCTTGGCAATTGAAAAGGACATTAGCTGATAAAGGCAGAAACTACCTGCTTCACATTCTTCGGGTCAGCTATTACAGGTCAACTGTAAAGGTTCTGTTTCTGTTGGACAGAAGTGAAGAAATGGTTTGTCTCTTTTTAGAAACACTTCCTTTTGCTCCACCAATCTTCACAGATTGATGTGTCATCACTAATGTTTCTCCTTTTTTTTTTTTAGGTGTCAAGAGGGATCAAGGCTTACTGCAGGCTATTGTTTAGTAGAATAATTAATCATATCTTCTTCTGCCTCTTCTGTCTCTTCTGGCAGGATTTATTCTTTACTGTAAAAGATGGGGTAAATAGTGCTATGCAGGGCAGCCACATCTGCTGTCAGCTTTTACATACCTTTTGTCAGATAGAAGAGAGATCTTTACATAGTCAAGTTATACCTTTTAATCCCACATAAATAAAAGGAGAGTACAGTCACTGATTTCAAAATGGGATGAAGACTGCTCTAACCAAACATACAGTGTTCTGGTTACCTTATCACTAGTTACACTTCTCTTCCTTTTAGGTTGATTTGCTGGTAGGAGCACATGCAAGTCAGCAGTTGTGGGCAGACCAGGTTTCACAACTGTCATAAGTGTTTCTTCAGGTATATTGGTTTCCTGTGAATACAAAGGTACATGGTAAATTATAGGACAGTGCTCTTCGTATTTTATATAAAATAGATGAGTAATTCTTTGTGAGCATTTAATTCTTTAGCACTCAAATCTCTAATAGAGTAGATTCCACCAGAAGCTAAAACGTGAGCAAAGTCAAGCATTAATTAGCTGAAATGTGAGGGGTTCTTTGAAAATTAGAAGAACCAAACACTGTTGTCACTTTAAAAAGATTTAATGGCATCATGGAAAGAAGCCAAATGAAGTGGCATACAGTTTTAGTAAAACTGCAATAGTTTTGCATTTTTAGAGTAACTTTAAAAATAATTCCTAAGTCACATGGAATGTTTAGTGGGCCATTCAGTTAGTAGACTTAGCTGGGCATGTTCATTATAGCTAACTTAACCTTACAGACGCTACTTTTCCTTCTGTTTTTACTGGACAGACTCTCCCAGGATGAGATCAACAGTACTTAGATTCCTTTTCTGAACCTGGTATGAATATCTGCACCCCCCAATGAAACAAATGCATTGCTTTTCAAAATAGTTTGTGCAAATTGTGTTTTCTAACCCAAACTGCTTCATTTGTTACATAACTCCAAAAGTAATGCCGCCTATTTATTTCCATGGAAACTACAGCAGCTACAAAGAGTACAATAGCACTATTTGAGAGAGCAAGTTCTCAATGTTTTATAGAACACTCTTTTTCAACATAGCCACCACTATTAGCTGTGCATTTTCATTAGGGATGAACAAGGGCCTACACGCTGTGCTTGTTACAATCTGCACCAGCAGGGATGATCCACTGTCCCTATCGCCACTGCTGAAATGCCCTCTGCCCCACTGCTGAAATCACCCACTGCCTCACTGTACTCACATCCACTGTTTGGTCTCGATAAGCATTCAACAAGCATTGATGAATGTCAGTGAGTGCCATTTTTTCTGCAAGGAGGAATTCAGTGACACAACTTTGTTCCATTCACACTTCTATGTCAGACACCTTTTTGTCAGCCTGCCCCTCTACTGCCATCTGTCAACACGGCAACAAAATGTAAGGAATCTTGCTGGGAAGGTTCAACCTCTTCTGCCATACTGCCAACATTCACCTCTGACATTGTGGGCCAACACAAAAAAAAGACAGTTTTACTTTTGGAGTAGCCCTCATTATACAGCCACAAAATTCTAATGACAACACCCATGGCATTTTCCATGGCCTTTCCCAAAACAAATACTGAAATTCAATTAAATTGTTCCTATTGTCTCACAAATGATTTGGTATTTATTAAAACAAAATGGCTAATTTTAAAATATAGTATTTTTAAGACTGACAGTGCTTGTAGAACGTATAAATGAATTAAAGTAGGAATGTAATTTGACATTTGTTATGAAGATTTAGAAAAGAAAAGCAGGAAACTGTATACAGTCAGAATTCCAAAATTCGATTTGATGGATTTGATTTGATTTTGAACTATTGTAAATCCATGAAAAGTCCACTGAATTCAAACGCAGTAATTCTAAAGACATCATCAATCTGCAACACAGTACCACTGTCTTCACAGACAGTTGGAACGTGCACATTCTGCTGTGGGCACTGTGTGTATCTGACAGCACAGCTCCAGACCTCACAATTTTTATGGAGTGCTCTTCAGTTATCTCACAGAACTGTTCTGTGGCTTTGTACTTGATTTAATTTATATGATTCAACTCCTCCCAGTCCACATTTCTTTTACAAACATGATCTAAAAAAAACAGCTGTACAAACTGTCTGTCTATGTGTTATATATAACTTTTGAAGTTCCACAAATGATATCATGAATTCTTTTCTCTGCTTTGTTTCTTCACGAAGACTATGTCTTCATATTATGCAGTATCCTACATACATCACATTTAACTGACTTTTCTTGCTTCGGAGTCAGCAGTATTTGCCAATATGTCTATCGCTAATCCCAGAAAGCAATAATTAGCATTAATTGCCAATTAGGCTATGTTAGAACTGAACTTTTCCAAGCTATGATGTCATAATCTACAGCCTGCCCATAGAAGTGACACTGGGTTCAAACTTGTATCAAATGTGGCTCATGAGGTTCATTTTATTATTTTGCTCTGCCTTTTTTTTTTTTTTTTTTTTTTTAAACAAGGAGGCATTAACTTAACCTTCAAGTTTTATGACTGGAAAGGGAACATTTTACGAGCAATCTGAAAGAGCACCTTTGCAAGAAGTCGTGTTACTACACGCCCTATGTCTTCCCTCCACTCTGGTATGTTGGGGTTGTACATGTCCAGGTGCTTGGTAAACTTCAGAGGAAGAACATGAAAATGATCTAGAAAGACAAAAAGAAACACTTCTGAATCACTGACAATCTGATTACAGAAACAATTTTGTATATATTTTCATACATATTTATCTACTTACATATTTTCCTACATTTATACATACGTGTGTGTGTAGATATATGTGTGTACATATATATGTATACATACACTCACATTATCTATGCAGCACTGCATTACCTAGGAACCCCATTATAATCCATTGCTCAAAGAGGAAAGGTAAAAAACAAATCCTTCCCCCAGGAGCCTACAGTGTAATACGGAGCAAAAATACGCTCCTGCCAGGCACTCAATTACTTTCTGTATTTTCAATATCATCAAATTTGTCTAGAGATTAAAATACAGTAGGGGAAAAAAAATACACCAAACAGACTTACATTCATCTTCTGGGGTCGTAACCTGCTCAGTAATTTTTTCTTTAAGACAATACACCACATAAATATGATTGGATTCTTTTATTTTTTAAGGGGAACGTGCCAATGGATTCTATTCTTACTGAATCATAAACATGTTTTTTACGTTTTACATGTTCCTGTTCTTCATGCAAAATGGACACTTTACATATCTCATGGACTAGCTATATGTATTAGCTACAAAACAGAAATTCTGTTCCAAATACCAAAGGGTAACTACTGCCCTCTTAAATATATATGTATAAAATAAAAGTAAAAATTAAAAAAAAAAACAAAACATCTAAACATTTATCTGAATAATGCCCAAAATATCTGAAATACTAGAAATTGGCTATTCCTCAGCAAACAGTCTTTGAAGTCCGTCGTTTTTTCCTTTCATGCTCCTTAGAGGATCACCTGGGGAAGTTAATACAAAGAAGGGAAATAGATTCCCTGGAACACAGGAGTGACTCAAACACTTCTTCCTTAACTGTTAGGACAGAATTCTGTTTCAATGCGATTTTCCATCCCAAGGATTTAATACCCCTCATGAACAGTACTTTCTTGCTCTTCAGATCAGGATTTCCCAACATGAACAGCCAAAACAGTGTTGGAAATCAAAGGCATCAATCTCATCTCACTAAGAGCGTTTACACATCTAAAGATTTTTTTAAACAGTGGGTGCACTTGTAAGAGATTACATAAACGTTAAATCCATTTATCTTAACAAATGAGAAGTTTTGTAAAAGTTCTGTTTAACATAAATGTGGTTTTCGTTATTTTAAATCAGTATGTATGCTGAAAGCAAAAGTACCAGAATCCTCTTTCATTGTTCAACTCACAGATATGTTTCACTTGTGTATTTCATGAATTTTAAGCTCTGCATTACAGTGAAACTATTTTACATATCACAATTCCCACATGTGACAGCACAAATGCAAACAATAAATTTGCCAGCACTACATTTTTCATTATATATTATGCCTCGACAGTACATTATTAGACACAGCAAAGCACACTGAGGCATAATGTGAAACAAAAGTAGAAGTTCGTCTTCTATTGAAGAGCTAAAATTTGCAAAAGGGCAATAATTCAAACTCTCACACAAATGCTGAAAGAATGGTTGCACATGGTGGCAGAAGGAAAATATTTCACACTGTTTTAATGCTATAGACAACTAATTTATTTTTTTTCCAAAAGTATTTAAACTACTGTATTTTGAAATGCTAACGAACTCTGAAGTCATAAGAAAAAATACTATTTCAATGTCATTGCTACATTAGGGAAACAGAGTAACATTTAGAATAAGCAAAGGAAACTAAAGGTTTCAAGTGAAACCATTCCATAAGACGACACTGCTCAGCGTTACGTACAGTTCATCCCTCTAACTTTAGAAATTGGATGTGGCATTAGAAATAATCTTACAAGAGGTTCAGTTCTGCCTGCACTGGTTTAAGAGATATAAGTACGCATTAAACAGCAATTAAACATTGAACAAGTAATGCCTCACCAAAAACGTGGACAACTTTGGAATCTTGTAGCATGGAGTTCCCGCAGGAAGCTTGCACTGTCACTCTGACATCACCTGTCACAGCGAACCTCGTCACCAGAAAACTGTCCAATGTAAGAAGTGGCTTTGCAAGCAAAGAAAAGTAGAAAATAGAATTTCAACAACAACCAGGAGAATAGTTATCTGACAAGACTATCACTAAAGATATCAGCACAAAAGTTGCACATCAATTATATTTTTAGAACGTTGGTCAACATTTTCCAAATTATTATGATTTACAATAGAAACTTTTTTACTTTTTTAAAAACAGATGGACTCTTATAAACAGAATAGCTGCCATATTAGTCAAATATTTATTTCTGTGAGTTTAATTGGTAGAGTATTAGATTTATATTCAGATTGCACTGAAATAAAGGGATTTGGAATCAGGCTCACAAATCTGAGTGACTGAGGCCCCTTGGTTTGTTCAGTGCAGAGCAGAGGGAGCTGAAGGGAGGTCTCATGGCAGCTGCAGCTCCTCACAGGGAGCAGAAGAGTAACTCTGAGCTCTGTTCCCTGTGACAGAGACAGGCCCGAGGGAACGGCACGGAGCTGTGCCAGGGGAGGGGCAGCTGCGGGTTAGGGAAAAGGTCTGCACCAGAGGGCGGTGGGCATGGAACGGGCTGCCCAGGGCAGAGGGCACAGCCATGAGCTGCCAGAGATCAAGGAGCGTTTGGACACCACTCTCAGCAAGAAGGTCTGACTTTTAGGTGTGAAGCAGGGAGTTGGACTTGATTCTCATCGGTCCCTTCCAACTCAGGATATTCTGTGATTCTGTGAACTTTACAGGATTATATTGAGCAAGTCATCTGACTTGAAAAATATGGGGCACAGTCAAGGTCAGGTGGTACTCCTGTCATGACCCATGGAAGTGCACCAATCTATCACAACTTCCAAGGTGAAGTTGAGATACCGTACTCCCCAGCCACACTTATATGTATCAGAAACCTCACCCCCACCGTACAGCAAGATTACATCAGTTTGCAGTGCCTGTTCTGGCAATGGCAAAGCCAGTAACAATGAACAGACACAGGCAAGGATTATGGTAGACAGCACATTTACAAGACCAAAGTTCATTATGCTTATCTGAAACATTCTTTTGTCTCCCTCATAAAGGAAATATTTTACATATCTGATTCTGAAAGAACTGCCTTAAAAAAATTAACCCAGTTAGACAAGAAATATTCCCAGTTGAAATACTTGTATATATATTGCTCTTTTTACAAGGCCACGTAGTGATAGGACAAGGGGTTTAAGCTGAAAGAAGATAACAATAGATTAAATATAAGGAAAAAATTTACTATGAGGGTGGTGAGGCACTGGCACAGGCTGTCCAGAGAAGCTGTGGATGTCCCAACTCTGAAAGTGCTCAAGGCCATGTTAGACGGGACTGTGGTCACCTCAGTCTAAAGAAAGGTACCTCTCTGCCTGTTGCAGGGGTTGGAAAGAGATGATTTTTTTGCCTTCCAATCCAAAATCATTATATGATTTTATGATAAAGTAAAAGGTTTAATGCAATTCTTACTGGAAAGAGATCAAAGATAATGTCAGTCACAACCATTCATGTACCTGAAGATTGTTTCCTATCCACCAGTAGAAGACTGTCAAGTTAGGGTTCTTGGGCAGTATGATGGCTGTCAGATTCACCTCCTGGTTTCTGCCAATGACTGGAACCACTTCTAAATTTAAAGCCTGCAGAGGAGCTGAAAGAAGTTCCCAAAACATCATTGAAACCTTGTTTAAATCATTGAATGCATCAATATAATAACTTTTTTTTTTTTTTTTTTTTTTTTTGCCAAAAGCCTCTCACCTGTACAACATAAGGTCCTGAACTTACTTTTCTCTCTCCTGCCTATACATCTGTGTTGAAAGCTATGGACATAATTGGAAGGACTTCCTTCATTTCAACCAAAATTAAACATAGTTAAAAATAAATAAATAAATAAAAATCCATCAACAACAAAACCCAAAAAGCAGAACAGATGAGCAATGTGACAAATAGTCAAAATGTACCTTAATGTTGTGCATTTTTTTGTGCATGTTCAATTTCAGAGAGTATAAGCAAGTATTACAGATACAAAATGGAAATGGCAATCTGCTTTAAATAAAAAAAAAAAAAAAAGATCAAATGAATAGAAATCTAAAAAGTCTCAAGCTGCTAAGTGAAAAGCAGAAAACTGGATAATAATGTTGCTGAGTGTTCATTTTCATTATAAAATATCAGCTGTTAGGCTCACTTCACATGAGCTAATTAATGCACGCTTTAAAATAAATGCATACATCAGAGGAGCATTTATTTGCAAATCAAGAGAGATGGCCTCTGGAAGTTTACTTTTTGATTAAATTTGTTTCTTTCTGAACTTTTGCTTACAAATGCTGTAAACATTATTATTTATATAGAAGATATAAAAGAAACATGTCATTAAAATGATTTCATCTGATTTTGTATTAGTGTTGTATTTTGTTCTGTAGTACAACAGCATTAATTGAAAATCATCTTTGTCTCAGAGGTCTCCAAGAGTATTTCTTGAGAATGTCTGAAGGTACAAGCTTTTTAATATTATAATGTGATAACTACAACTTCTTAACATCAGCTGCAATATCTATTCAGGATACCAATGTGCTGTATGGTCCTAAATACATTCATTAAACAGAGTGAATACTAACCCATAATTTTTTCTCTACTCAATGTATCTTTTAATTCATAAAAATGTCTTTCATTTCAGTTCAGACTTAAATGTAATTAACACTATTTCAAGGCCTTTCTCTTATTCTCTTTTGTTGACTGAATTCACTTCCATTCACTTTGATTAAACTGACAGAAGTTCGCTGAGAGCACGTTGTTCAAACTGATCATACCCTCCTTTTTTCACCTCGCTTCAGTCAGACTTTGTGCTGCTTCAACCAAACATAAGGCTCTACTTTCATTTAGCATTTTTGCTGACGAGCGATTAACCATCTACATGAATTCAAAGACACAACTTTTTTTTTTTTAAAGTTTCTTCAACAGCTTCTTTATCAAAACTGAATTAAAATGCTCTTCCTGATGCTGGCATCTTGAGGAAAACTCAGAAGTAGTACAAATTCCATTAAATATTCTTCTCTTAGAAATGTTTTTTCTTACTGGTTATGCAAAATAAAGAAGTCTGGGAGGAATCTGCACCACTGTTTTGATTTTGCCATATATTTCCATTCTCACACAGGAAACTGATCATCCCGAGATACAGCTTTCATAAGGGAAGGGAAGATGTTTGGCTCTTGAATCAAGAGTTGGCCATTTCGGTATAGGAAAGAACTAACAATAATTACAGCAAGTCTTTCTCTTCTTCTCAGTCATATAATTCCAAATGTATTTGAACAACCCTTGTAGCATCCTGAATGTACATAATGAGGAATGATGTTGACTGATATTTCTACTTAATCTCTGTATAGCATTCCAAGCTCCTTCTTTCTCTATATCAATTTCTACACTCTCAAAATAAAAAAATAAAAATAAAAATAATAATAAAAAAAAGCATATTCACATACTGTAGTTATTATAGTTATTATGGGTTTGTGGCACGAAGAAGAAAAAGTATGTCTACTTCATGCTGAGTTCTTTTTATTCTGGGTTCACATGTATACTATCAGACTTGCTTTAATATCTCTTAATCTCTTATAAAAAGTTGTTTGTGAACTGGATCAGTTCAGGGATAACAGGCCAAAAATGTTTGTCCTTCATTACAGGACAATTCTCATACCAACCAAACCTCACAGGAGTTAAAAATATTTCCTTTACTATTTGTCCTTCATAACATTTATCTCGAAATACATCAGATGAAAACAGTGAATACAGGACATTGGACATTCCTGTTTGCATGATACACCACAATGAAAAATGGCCCTGAGCAGCTATTAGCATTTCTCTAGAAGGCAGATATATATCACTTAATTAGTACCAGCTAATTTCCTCAAATCCTGTAATTTACTTTAAAAATTAAACAGTTTAAACCCAATCTGAAGTGTTTATTCAAGCATGCTGCGTAACATGTGTCCATGTGTCTTTTAGATCACTTACAGCACTAATGGAGAAGCTCAAGATGAGCTCTGAAATCATCAAAGTCTGCTTGCAGTATTTTATTGATTCTGTACTTCAGCACCAAAGTCATTTGAAATACACAGCCATTGTATTTTTAAAAAACATGTTATAAATCCACTGTATAAAACGCAATTTACACCTTTTATTTTAACTGTTTATCCAGATGTAGGCCAAAGCAGAAGCATATCTTGAGAAAGGAGTTGTTCAGCTTTCCATTGGTGCTCGTTACAATTTATCATTCCCTAAAAAATATGAAGATTTTCTCCCTGGAGAGATGGCATTACAGAGTTTTTGCCATTCCTTGCTTATGGAGATCTACCAACTACTTTCATGCTTAATCTACTTCTAAATACCCAGATGCTACTAAGAAGTAAACATAGAACATTCAATAATTAATCTGAGCTGTCAAATTATGTAAAATGCAAAAACAATAAATAAACAGGTAATGAAATGGAGATGGAAATTTAGACTTCAATCATTTCATTTTGATTTTAATAGGATATTAGCCATTAGCATTAATGGATTGGGCTCCACCTGTTAATCAAAGCAGAAGCAGAAACTCCGAATTCAGGCTCTGAAGAGCAAAAAGAAGAAACAGCTGCAGCCACAAGATAGGCTGACATAAAACACATGGATTTGTGCACAGACTTGAATGTGGCTCCACTGCTTTCTATTGTTAGTATGGAAAACATCACTCGCATCAGGGGAAACAGACAACTGAAGAATATGAGATGAGTATATCTTTTCATTGAATGCTACTTGTTTACAATTTTTGACAGATCTAAAAACAAAGTGATAGCTGTCTTGAATCTCGAAGGAAGAGAAAAACTTTGTTTCAATTACGACTTCCCTTCCTTATTTCAATTAAGAGATGTCTGAGATGCATTAAGTCTGCTACCATGTGTGATATCCCTGTGCCTCACTATTCTTTTCATTTGAATCTATTCAATGGGATTTTTAGGTCTTAATTAAGAAGACAGGGAGAGAGGTCTAAGTCAACTTATACTGTATGTCAATACAAAGTTAAATCCAAGTAATACTTTAAAACTTTGCAAGAATTAACTACCTAAAACTAGACTTAAGGACTTTAATACGTAGCCTGACTTTTGGAAATGCTGAGATTTTGATCCTTCTATCAACTAATGCTTTCTGAAAGTCATACAAGAGGTCACACTTTTATCAATATGTCTGTTCTCTTGCTTCTTACAGCACAAAAAGACATAGCCTGAAGTTCTAAATTTTAGCTGTTAAGTCTGCCAACAAGGTCTTGAGTCAGGAAGAAGGGTAAAATCTGAGAAATGAACTGAGCAATGCTTAGTATTTAGAAGATTAATATACCATCTTTCTCACAAATCTAAACAAAACTAACTCTGTCATTCTTTTATACAAGTCTCTATACTAACAGCACACAGCAATGCACAATTGATTGAGGTTATCAGAAAAGAAATGTATTTTTCCTAAACGTGACTAGTAACATTCTCAACTGCTTCGTAACTATCACAACGTTTGTATGCAACAGTAAAAACAAGAAAACCAAAGGGCTGACTTACAGTTGACTTGGATGAACACTACAGACTCATCATGTCCAGCAACATTTTCAGCTTTCACTGAGACACGGTAAATCCCAGGATTCTCGTAACGGTGACGGATGGGTTCCCCAGTCATTGTAAGATTGACATATATCGCCTTAAAGCCATCGCCGAGATCCACCTGGTACTTGGTATTCAATATGTCACCCTAAAAGGAGAATATATCAACATTTCGAATGGTCAGAACCTAAATAGACAGGACATGTTATTTTAACCATTTCCTGAACCACAACATCACTTCCAGCACCAGCCAAATGTTTTGACTCCACAGCAGTGGCTACACTAAAACCTGTAAACCCATTGTGAAGATTTTAGAGTAACAAATGCTGCATGCACTCACAGAGATAAATCTAACTTTCTTCAGTAAGGCTTAATCTTAAAAACAACACTAAAAAAACCACCCCAGACCACTAAGCCAAGTTGTATGATACAGATATCACTCTTAAAAATGTAATACTTCTGGACATTAATTAATATAATGGTGCAGGGCAGCTTCAAGTCCCTGGAGCTATGATCTGGTGATTCCTAACTACAACTTAACCAGTGACCTGTGGTAACTGACTGGCAGTGAACTTCTGGCTTGTGCAATTATAAAGCAGAATAGGATTGGACCATCTTCATAGCACCTTCTAACTACGCTCTCCTGTGTCAACTGTATGACAGCTAGAATACAAGCTGGTAGCTTCTACAGAGTAGTACTGCATTATACAGAGTTACCAGCATGTTTCGAACTGGCATGCTACTCTACAAAATGATATGCACGCTTGACAAAGTAGAGTTTTGAGCTGTGCTTAGTAAAAAGACCAGCCAAATACTTCTGTCACATCAAGCATCTCACATAATTTACAATTCATTGCACTTCTGCTAAGTGCTCCTTTAAACAACACCGCCTTCCTAAACTCAGACCAAAAATACTGCAATGACTGATACTGTTGTCAGAGGACAAATATATGCCCATCATTCATGTTGTCACGGTGTGTCTGCTCAGAAGAGAAGTCAGGTCTGTGCTACATGGACTGGCCATATGGATTGAGTGAAAGGAAGATTCGTTTTAGCTGTGAGCAACAGCACTTTCTTAATACCACTGGCAGCAGTGCTTTAGTGACTTGCCCTTCTTCCTCTGTATTCAGCAATATACTCCTGCCTGCATTTCACAGCACACTGTCGCTACTGCCATGGAAGTTAAAATGGCTTGTAGGGCCAAGTTTGATAGGAAATTCTTCATATTTTGAAAAGACAGTGTTAGCTTAAAAATCAGCCTAGAGGAAAGGAATGTATACACTCATCAAATAAGCTGAACGGCAATCAGATCTGACAAGGACTTACACCCCCTGAAGTACTGAAAAATCACATCACTTTCCCATAAGCCAATCTGTGAAATAGTTTTGCATCAAAATCCAATTCAAAAGGCAGCATTAATGTAAAATCAAAGGAGGTAACAAAGTCTAGAATTTTCAAATGCTTGCATTACAAAGGAAAGAAAAATACACTCTTTTTCTCCATTTATTATTTTGCAGTTTGGTTGATTTTCTTCCATGTTTTATCAGATGAAAGAACACTACTTATCTTGTAAGAGAGTACTCAGAATAAGGAACCTGTAGGGTTATCAAACACCTAACATCATATTTCAACACACATAAAAGACCTTGAAAGCTTCTTCACTGTGAATTTTTTTTCCGAATAACATTTTTATTTTGACAACAGATGGGTACCAGAAAATATATTATTAAAGTTTAAAGCAAAAGAGATGTCTGCTTGCCAGCAATGTGCCAGTAAGTGGCATCTCTTCAGATGACATTAGCTTGCAAATAGTTCTTGTTAGCTCTTTCTTATGCTAACAAGTATACATGCGTATTTTCTCCAGGTGAGGGAGAAACCAGTGTTGGAAGCAACTACATGCAAGTTTCTCTTAATGTTTTATTCTAATATCTTCCTTATTGTAAAGATGGGAGTGCTGTCTCCAAAAAAATCAGGGCACTTCTGTTTTCCTGATCAGGAAAGACAGAGAGCGGTGGACAGCAAATGACTCACACGGAGAAAAGGAATTTAAAGAAACTGGTTCTTCCACACAAAATAAATGATTTTTGTACAACTATTTATTCACAAATCCAGCCTAAATAATTTGAAAAAAAAAATAAAAAATTCTTATTATTATTTCCAAGATCAATTGCAAACTGCTCAAATGGGCCTCAAAAACTACTTTCCTTATTTCCTGTAGTCTGGCATTGCTGCACTCAGTACTGCACTTCACAAAAACCAGTCAATTAATATTGTTCAGCAGGAAAAGAAAGTAGTATTTTTGGTTCATCTTAGCGGGACTGCTTCTTACATTCTCTAATTGATAAGAATTCTCTTCAGACTTTATCATATATATTAAATCCTAAAGGCCAGGACTTTCAAGTATAAATATTATTCTTAGCCATAGGGGGCAGCAAACTTTTACATTTCCTTTAAATCTCCTTTTCAGTTCTGTTCACTGAGCAGACTTTACCAGAAAATGGGGATTCCCTTCAGGATTCCTGACTTTGGAAGAGTTTTGAATAATTGTATGAGTTTTGCCCATTGCCAACAGAGACTTGTGAAGGCTTCAGAACTTTTTGTTTGAAAAGGAAGAAAAAAAAGTGAAGCTACCAATCAAAACTGTGAGACTCCAAATTACAATCAAATGCTCTAGTCGTACAGCAAACATTCAAAACAAGTTAGAGAAAAGAGAAGGAAGCACAACTTGCTACACCATCGCTAGTACTCTGCAAGCCTTTGGAACAAGAACTTGAGGTGGAGTAGGCAGAGCTGTGTTCTGCCTAGATTTTCTCACAGAAATAAAATGCCAAGTGCCCAACTTCTGTCACATAGGTTTGCCAACTCCAATTTTTTGCAAATAGTTGGCATTAGTCAGGAAACACTTCTGTAACCGGAGCACAACAGTTAGAACCTAATACTAAAATGCAAGCATTAAGAAACATACCCAGAGCAAATAACCACATCTGTAAGTTAGTCCTTGCCTTTGGTCAGGGCCTCAGGGTATTGTCTCTTCCAATAAACAGGAAAAAGAAGAAGAAGAAGAAAAAGGAAAAAAAATCCTTTGGCAACATAACTAATACATTATAAATGTTCTTATGCTGTGGTATTTGCTGATTTCTGTAAAGCTTTGCCTAATTCCTTCCTGAAAGGCTGAAAGGCAGATTCTCAAAAGCACTTAAATCAGAATATCAAGGGTTCTCAGCATTTCTGTTCTTCTCTGATACAATGTGAAATTTCCAGTTCAAGGAGACTCTGCTAATTTAGTCCCTTTGATTCTCCAATAAGTTGAAGCCTTTAAGGAATAATAACTGAAATGCTGCTGAGGAGACAAGTCCCTTTCTCTGGACAGAAATTCATGGTTCACTGAGTTTACAAGATTGTCTGATTCTCTTGGAAGCATAAGTTTCAGTATTTACAGAGTCATTCATCTTTGTCTCAAGCGCAAATTAATCTAATTCAGCAGCAAAGCAGGTAGGAGAGAGATGAACTCTAAAAATAGCAAGTAAAGTTTCATAAAGACAGTGTTAATTTCTACCTGCTCTTGTCTGACAATGAAGGTGATGTCCTCCCCAGGCTTAACAGCCAAGCTTTCTCCTCTGATGCTGATCTGAAGTCCCTTGGGAGCAATCAATGGACACAAATGTTGTGCTAAGTTCTGCTGCAGGTCTACACCACCTTCACACACATTAGAAACAACTTTCCTGTACCTGCAAAAACAATAAGCAGTGAGCGAGGTGGAGGCAAGCAGTAGGCACCAAATGTGAGCGTGACAGTAGGCTAATGAATATTGCTTGGGTTCATAAACAGAAAATGTTGTAGATGACCAAAATAAACTCAAAATGCAAAAAAATTTTGCTTGCGGACATTGTTTCTATTGAGTGAAATCTGTTAGAGGGATTAGAGCATGATCAGGATTTCACTTGCATGCATTGGAAGAGTCTATCCTCTAAAATTCAGAAATATGCCTGATCTGTTCTCTTAGAGCTGGGTATTCTGCTGTTCTCCCTCAACACCGCCCTCCCTCCCCAGTCATGAAGCTTTCAATAGCCTTCAGTGCTCCAGGGGTGTTGGCTCAGGATTTTGCTGCTCACATGTACTGCCAAACTCAGGCTTCTATCCTATCCCACTTTACTACTGCTTTACATGTAGTTGGTTCAAGTTCCAAAGGTCAGAAATAAAGCAAGCAACTTCTGCATTAACCCAGAACCAATCACTTATATACTGTTCTCAAATCTGTGCATTTCTTAAAATATATAACATTTATTTCACATTATAGTAATAAAAGCTTGAACTCGATGACCTTGATGAACTTGAACTTTTTTCAACATAAATAATTTGATGTTTCTAGGGGTGTAAGAAGAGCTAATAAAGAAACACTTGGAAGTACAGCAATTATTTACAGATCAGTTTCAATCAGGTATGCTATTTTTAAACATTCTTAAAAATTTGAGTCAGATTTCACTCTGATGAATTCAAACTCTGTGTATCACAGCTGTCAGCCACAAACCAAAAGGCATCATTTTCCTCAGTAAGGCAAATATACACAAAGACTATGATTCTATTGCCAGATTTGACATTTCATCATTTGGTTTGCATCTCCACAACCAACAGAGATGATGTTATGATAAGCCAGAATAGATGCCAGCTGCAAGTTATTCTCAGCACAGACGTCAGACTACATTGTAGTGTGTACTCTATGCACTATTGTTTACAGTTACTAAAGCTTTACTTTGATTCTGAGTATCCCATATGGCCAGGAGAATAATTCGCTCTCTGTAGAGCTCCTTACACTGGTGGAAGCGAGAGACAGTGGAAAGTTCTGTGAGACATTACTTACTCCTCTGAGTAATTAACTGGATTTATGCAGGGAGCTAAAAGAAAAGGCTTTGAATGGGCATTACTATCAGAAGTATAGCAATGCTTATTAGCTGTCCCAGCAGTTAGGAAAAATTACTGGGAACAAGACAGCTCTCCCTCTTCTCAAATCAATTAGTTTATTGAACCGCTGCGAACGTGTAAAGTAACATTGCTCTTACATTAGTCTGCAGAAAGATTCTGCATGAGCTGTAAGTCTGAGCCAGAACAGCTTACCACTTGCATTTTCCTTTTTTTTTTTTCTTCCAGTTTCCCTACTTACACTTCCCCAAAGCCACTTTCGTAGTCCTTGGTCAGAACATTCTCCTCCACTACGGAAGCCCATGCAAGCCAGTCAAACCCAAGATTGACTTACCCACTGCTGCTTGTGTATGCCTGCCCCAGCACACAGTCTTCAGGAGGTGCTTCTGGATTAAACCAAAAGTCAGCAAAGCACTTGCTAGACTGTGACTTCACAGGTGCAGAGCGCTCAAACCCGTAATCACTGGAAGACATCAACACCAAGTGTGTCACTATCCTCACCTTATTCACCAACCCAATTTGGGTGGATGAGATTACTTCTTTAAGAGTAAAGATTTTTAAAAGTATCTGCTGTAAGCTGAACACACAGCTTCATGAAGCCACTTCTGTTCTAACTGTAGTTTCAGTGGGGCAAAAATTGTTATAATTACTTTGCCAGTTCTGCATAATTAACCTTCTTGGGAGCTTAGAATTTTAAAAGGAATCTTCCATTTCTTCCATATTTTTCTTAATTTTTATTTTTCTTAAGAAAGAATGGGTTTAATTGCCCCATTAATAAATCCAACAGTTGTTTTTCAAGTCTTGATCAACAGAGAAAAACATTGGGATTTCTTCAGACAGGTGAGACAAATACTTAAAGCACAGCAACGCTTTCAGACAAAAACAAATTCATAAGCTACCCGTTATTCAAAACTATCACATTGCTTCTTGGTTGTTTGCACACAGCCATGCAAGAGTGGTGCAAAAGGAGGAAAATAAACTCCTCAAACTCTAAATAACATTTCACTAATGATGAATCTGAATATCCACAGACTCACCATAAGAAATCAGAGTTCGCACATTCACAGACTTTGGACGTTAGAGCTGAAGTGAAACTTCTCCCTTTAACGCACCATGATGAAATCTTCCTCTTCCGAAAGCTCCTCTGTTGACCCATGATGCAACGATCACCCTAAACATCAAAACACCAGATTTATTGCATGCCATAACCTGCATCGCAAAGCCACAATCTGAAACTGTCAGGAGAAAGTCTGGTTTCTTTTTGCCAAGACTGGACACTGGTATCAAGTCTCAACTCATCAATTTCTAGAGAAATTTACAGCAAGTTATCTATGATGTGACTATAAAAATGTGATCAATTAACTTAAGACTGAGACTGAAGGAAAACAGACTCAGCAAAGAAGAAAAAATACTTCACGTTCAATTCAATTGGACTCTTATACAAAGCTCTCACGTCCATTACTGGGATATTACACAGTTCTAACATACAATGTCTCAGGACACAAATTCAAAGATGAGCACAGAAGTTCTATAGCAATTTAACCCACGTTCCATGTGTGTACAATCTAGGCACAAGCCTACAGATGTGTACTTAAAAACTCAGGCTTCTTATGGCTGGACTTCTCTCTACATGACCTCATCACGTGTAGGCAGTCAATAGGAAGCACTAGGCACACAGAGACAGGTAGTATTAATACACTCTTGAAGCTAACACTGCACTGGTAATTTAGCAGCTGTAAGTACTCTGTCAGAGATATTTTAGTTGCTTCCATTTTCTGAAAGACATTTAAATGTCAGTGTACCCAAATAATTTCACTCTTTAGACGGGCATATTACTCTCAAAATACACAATGATTTCAAACAAGAAACAATTCCAAATTATGTGTGAGAACTAGCAAGTGAGAGTTGGAGAGCTGGAATAACAACAGAGTTGTTTACCAAAAGGAAACCTGCAGAGAGCAAGAGAACAAGTATACTGGATGAAACAAACAAAATAATTAGAACGTCTACAAATAAACATGACATATCCCATTTAATGTAAGAATTAGAGACACTGGTCTCTAATCATACATTATATAGAGAACGTAGCTTCCCAAAATTAGAATTGACCAGAGACGAGGAATTAGCACAGCCTTAATAGATTAACTACAGAAATGGTACTGCCCCAAACTGGACTCTATTACATGATCAGTCCACTGAAATCCTAAATTACATCTGGAATGGGCTTTACTTACAGCAATTTATATGAGTGCAGTATGTGGTCAGGAAGTTGGCAGTACAAACAACTGCATTTTGAAATTGCTTCAATCAATATTAGAGATCTTAGTTTATGGTATATGCATCATAATCCAGTAGGACCACCTATTATTATGGAAGACCACTAGATATATTGCTGCCTTTCCCAGGACACAATTTATACAATTAAAGGGAACACAAAAACATCCTTCCAACTTTTAACAATTGTAAAATCAGCAAAATATCAACCAAAGGAGAATAGAGCTGGGAAGGTGACATCCAAATTCTGTTAGAAAACATTTTCCTTGCTCACAATAGTGAATGATTCTTTCAGATATGAAAAAGTTCTGGCATATACAGTGAATACCTGCAGATTTGTGAGTTCCCAAGATTCATAGTCATCATCAGTGCATTCCCTGGGGAAGGATGGCCTGAAGTCCACCTTCACCAGTTCCCAGTCTGAGCGGTAACTTATGTGTCCAAAGACTCTGAACAAAAGAATCACAAGTAAAATCTTACAGGAAAGAAATACCATGCATCTGAGATTCCAATTTTCCATTCTGACTTCTGCTTTTCACGGATATGGTTCCCTACTAAAAGGTCACTGGTGCTTTTTTTCTTCATTTTTTGGGGAACTCTGCAGTTAAAAAACAATGTCTAATGTTTTTTTCCTTTTTTTTTTTTTTTTTTTTTTTTTTCCCAGCAAAGTATACAAGAACGTAAATGGAGATACACTAGCTTTTCTAATTTGGAATCCAATATTTTTGTCTGTTATCTTGTCATACATATGAAACATTCTCTGATTTTGATCCAAATTAGGATCAGAACTGAGGAAGCTATGTCACTATTTCCTTATGGTTATGGTGCAATTTTTTTTTTTTTTTTTTTTTGGTATTTGTTTAAACTTACACAGATTTTAGATGACAAAATTGCTATTGTTCAAACTCACAGCAGTATTGTGAAGTTGCATTCATTTCTAAGGAATACACTGAATCTACACATTGTATTGGAGGATAGAGTCTCCATTTCAGATAGTCCAAACTATAACGAAAACCAGTCACAAACTGTAAATCTCTTCTTGAAAAATAAAAAAAAAAAAAGAAAAAAGTGGAAAAAAAAAAAAAAAAAAAGGAAATCTTACAGCTTTAAAAAACAGGTTTCACTTCAAAAGCAGCCAACACTTTCAAAGACAGAATATTTATTTCCAAAACCAAATGGGCAAGTATGACATCCAGCAACAAATTAGAAAGGATAAAGACTCTATTTTGGCAAAAGTCAAATGTATTTGTGGTTTGTATCTGGCCTGTGTGGCTTACTTGCCAAAGAATTTAAGGTTGATTCTGAAGCCAAAAATTTCTGCACAGATCATACTGCACAGAGTTCATTTTCCAAGTTTTAGTAGCATTCTCCAAACGAATTCATTCCTTTTGTTTTGTCCTCAGTTTTGTCCAAATCCAGACACAGCAGGAATGGTGCAGTTTTGAAAAAAAATATTCTGCTACTTAGACTCATTTTTCTTGTCCTGAATACCAAGTTCAAAGTGGAACTAGGGTAAAGTAGAAGTAAAAAAAACAACAAACAAACAGTGAATTCTCTGCAACACAGAAGCAACATCATTGCACTAAGTCTCTTCCCTATTAAATGAATGTAGAATTCTGAATTCCTCTACAAAGGTTGAAAAATACTTGCAGAGAACATAGGGATTTCTTCCTTTTTTCCTGGTACCTTTGATTCTCAGTCCCAGCACAGATATACAGATATAATCTATAGATTGAGCTTCACTATCAGTAGAGTATGTATTTAAACAGACACACAGGCATTTTGTCTGCATGTTTTACTCTTTTTTTTTTTTTTTTTTTTTTTTTTTAAGTGAGGGTCTGTGACTAAAGGACTTGCACCAACTACCTTCTTTCCTTTTAAATGTCTCTGTGGTTCAGAAGTAAAAACAGAACACAGAAGTGAAAAAGCATAGCTCAGCTCACTGGCTGCATGTGCACACAGGTGTGTGGTCCCACTTCCCATCAGGACAACTGTCTTGCATCAAGATCTGCAGGTTTGGTTCCTTTTTCTGGTTCAGCTGAATCCTGAGACCTGCTGTCACCATATGCTTTTATTCATTTGTAGTCATATATACAATAAAGTGACTACTTGGGTGGTCTTATGCTTTTTTACAATGCCTGCTTCAATATGCCTGGCTTTGCTGACAGAAATGAAGTGTCTTTTGTATGCTAAATACCTGATGCTTTTTTAAAAAAAGTATATTTTACTCTTTTTTCTCCATACAACTGTTTAAAGCGAAGCAGACTTCACCTTGCAGTTACACAACTACCTACCTCCCTGAGTGCTTCTTCAAGCACCAGAGAACATCACAAATTGGTCACATTTCTTTTATTAACTCATTTAAACACATTCAAGTGTAAAGATCCAGGTTCTGTCAAGGCCTCACTCCTGACTCAAGAAAAGTATTTTCTATAGAAGAAATCAAATTTTCTTCATTCATGTTAGCTACTTCAAACAGATGAGTCAAGGGAAAAGGAAGGAAGGAGATGGCTGGTTGAATTCAGTACAGAAGAGAGTCACATAATTCTCTTGAAAGTAGAAAACAAAATCTCTGAATGATTAATAATCATCTTTACGAGCTCAGAGAGGTCAGGGGTGACTCTAGATAGCCATAAGAAGGAGAATATTTTGCCTACATATAAAATAAAACACACATACCTCTCCTCCAACTTTCCCAAAGAAGTACAAATCCTGAGTTACAAAACTCATTTTGATATCAACAAAGATACCAAACAAACTATTAAGCTAGTCACTTATAAGTACCTTGGAGATAATTAAAATGATAAGAAAGAGCCACCAGAGATTAAACAAACAAACAAATAAATCATGTCAAACTAATGTAATTTCCTTCATTTACAGGGTAACTGCCTTGAATTATTTTTTTCTGAAAAAGTTAAAAATGAGCAGTACAACAAAATGTCTTCAAATAACTCTTTCTATATATTGTAGAGTTGTCATTAAAGAGACATGAAATAGGGGCATAAAAGAACAAGGATAAAAATCACTAACTTAAAAGATGAAGCTATAGAATTCTCCAGTGGTAATGGAACGAGATACTGAGGTTTTATCCTCTCTCACAGGACCAAGATATTAGTGAAACACAGGCATTAGAGATACATAGAATCTGGCGATATTGACTAGTGCCACACATCCTCTGATTTTATAAAATTCATGGAAATTAATAAAGAAATTAAGAATGCTCCCGAAGAAGGATACTGATGTTGTATATAATCTGTATTTGGTCTCATAGAAAAAATGATTTGCATGATAGGTCTTGTGATTCTACATACCAGTAAACATGATTTAACATAACACAGTAACTGTACCACTGTTTCAACCACTCTCTGCGTTAAGTAAAGTAACTGAGATTCAAGGTGTCCTACCAGCATAACCACAAACTGTACAAAAATGCAACCGCACAGCTTAGGAAATCCTGGGACACATTTCCAAAGGAATTCAGCAACTGGTGTGCACTCAGATTTGTAAAATGTTTGAAACATGGCTTCACAATTACTAATGCTATTGCTGCTACAACACTTGATGCCTTACTGAGGACAGGGTTTTGCAGACACATCAGAAGAGCCCATTCAGATGTAATGCCAAATAACAACAAAAAATCCTTTACAAAGTAAAAAAGAAAGCCTTTTTTTTTTTTTTAATGTAGAATTCTATGGATTGGAGAAAAATATGAGCAATATTGAAGCAATACATAACAGCAATCATATTGCTCAGGTGCAAAATATTCATATCCAGTTAATTCACATGTATGGAAAAAGATGGTACCGTGTAGCAATGATCAGAAGATAAGTATCAGGATGACATTAGTTCATAAGCTGCTCTGAGCAGCCTGGTCTAGTGGTTGGTAACCCTGCCTATGGCAGGGAGGTTGAAACTAGATGATCTTTGAGGTCCTTTCCAACCCAGGGCATTCTATGCTTCTACGATTCTGTGATATGCTATTAAAACATTCTTCTTCATTAATTTTATTTCATTAGAAGGCTAACAAATCAATTCTATTGCAACTATGAAAGAAATTCCAATTACCTTAGAAATTCATTTCCTTTTTTTTTTTTTTTTTTGCAACTATTTCGAATCCATAATTTTAACACCAGTGTTCCAGTCGCTGTAATAACTTTTTACATTTGTTCCTACTTCATTAACTGCACATCATCTTAAAATTTGATTGCATCACTTGATAGCTAAGACAGATTAATGCAGTTTTTAAGCTAACTCATTTAAACTATTTGCTGGAGGATTGACGTTTATTTCTGTTCCTGATAAAGCTCACAATCAGGGAGAGCTAATTTAATGGAAATTATATGCAATGATAATCTCTTCCAATAAATTCACGTTTCAGTTCAACAGGAAAAGGCATCTCTTCAATAGATGTTTTTAGTTTACATGAACAGTATTAGCTTCACTGCCTGCTGACTGTGTCACTAGTTAGATACCTGACCAAAACTATGACGGTTCTTGTAATGGAATCTCCCAGAGACTTATCAGCTTTCATGGCTTCATTCAGGAAAAATGATCCCAGTTTTCACAGTGCAGCTCATCTCGGATGTCACAGGTTTGTTATATCCACCATGTTTGCTTTTACTTTTTGGCTGTGCTCTTCAGGATGTTGTTCGTAGCCTTTTACATTCTTTGGCAGAACAGATGGAATTTATTATGAATCTAATGTCATATAAATTAAGATATGCCCTGAGCAACTTTTTATCACGTTACATTGATTTACCAACGTAGCCCTGCTCTGCTACTCTGGACAGACAAGATGGCTTTGAAGAGCCTGATGTTCATATCCACCAGATACTAGGAGCAGTGTAGCTGAACCTGCAACAGTTTTACTGCTGAATATCTAAAAAAAAAAAAAAAAAAAATCTGCGACCTCAGAGTCGAGGAAGCAACCCTGCTGTACCTGTAACATGAAAGCCATGAAGACACCACATGTGGAATTTATTCAGATGTTTAACACAGCACGTAACATTGTCCAAGTTTTGCGGTCATATTGAAGACTAGTGATGACAACTGTGTGATGCATAGCTACTTTTGTTTGAAATCAGATGCTTCTTTCATTCTAGACATGCGGCTTTAATCTCCCAAGTGCTGTGTTGGCTTTTGCTCTCCTCTACATGACTTTGTCATCGACTGTGATGTTTGAAACAGCAGCATTTACCTCTGTAGCCCTGTATTGCCCTGCTGACACCCTCTGCTAGCTTCACATGCCAGCTGGATGTTGCACAGTACTTGTCATGTTTTGGAAGAGCCTTCACATGTATAAAACTCTCAACAGAATAAAAGCCAGGATTTCAATCAGGGTCAGCCAAGTGCCCATACGTATCACCTGTACTTCAGGTCATCCCAACGGGGCTGTCATAGATAACAGATCTTAATCCATTCTTCTAAGCAGCACCAAAGTAAGATGTCA